TCTTGTATGCATAAATAAATTAAAAAAAGAAGAAATCACTTTAAATTCTCTTGACACAGGGTTTAAAAACAAAGAAAAGCAAACAAAAAGCCTTTCTTTTGGAAGGAACCAGGCAGATCAATTATTGTACCTCTGGATTTCTAGCAAGCAGCTGGTCCAAGTTCTAAGATGTCCTTTGGACAAATTAGAGAATGTATGGGTTCAGATAAGTACATTTTATTTTTTTTTTTTATTTTTTTTTTTTAATTTTCTATTCTTTTTTTTAAGATTTTATTTATTTATTTATACAAGCACTGGACACAGTCAGAAGCGCAGGAGGGTGAGAGAATTCACCAGAGCCAGAGTGGGGAGCAGAACAGGCAGATGATGAAATACACTGCCAAGGGGAGCAGCAGGCGGCAGGAGAGGTCTGTCGCGCCATGTGGGACCCTCGCCGAGGACTGCGGGGATGGAACCGGCGCTGCAGAGGCTGCAGACAGCTTCGCAGCCCAGCACTCAACCGCTGTGCCACCAAGGGAGGCCCCAGATAAGTACATTTTAAAAGGTTGTTTCACATCAATTTCATCGGAAAAATATATAGCTGTATTTCAGTTATTTGTAAATATATGTCAGCAATCAAATTGATAAGAGTTTGTTAATATCATACCAGTAAACAATTGTATTAACAGTTTTGGAACTTAAAAGTTTTAAATAAAATTGTGTTTGAAACAATGAAAAACATACAAGAATGCCAGAAAAAAAAAAAAGGGAAACATCAGGTAATAAAAACAAATATGAGGAAAAAAAACACTTCAAATGTCTGGTTATTTCTGCTAAAATATGAAGTAGGTTGGATGTATTAATGACTCTTCCCCACCCCATGCAAACACAAAATTATCTGGTTGCATTTTCATTTGGCGCTAGACCTTTCTGAGCAGGCTTAGGCTGCAGTTGAGTGAGGCCTCACTTCACGGGATGGCTGGCACTGTGACCAGCAGCGGACCGTGGCTGCAGTCTGGTAGCTTGCCTTATCTACTGAGCCCTTGTTTTGCGCTAGATGAGGTGATGACACAGATGATAAGATCAGTGCCCTCGTTAAAGTAGCCAGAGTAAATGTTGAAATTTGTGGTTTGTTTGAAAAGGCCCTGGCCAAGGCAGTTTCATCTGCAATGTAGGCACCGTGGGCCTGCCAAAGCTGGTGTGGATCCCAGCAGGAGGTCCTGTCCCTCCACCAGGGCTGCCCTAGCTGAGAAGAAAGTGAAAAAAAGGTTTTTTGATTTTAACATTTAATAAAAAGTTGAACTCTTAAAAGAACTCAAGGAAATTTAATGAATATAATAGTTTTTCTATAGAACTTTTCAAGATTCAGTTATTTATGCATACAAGAGCTGGGGTACGGGCCAAAGATGCAGGGGTTGAGAGGATTCACCAGAGACAGAGTGGGGAGCAGAACAGGCAGACTGACTGAAATATACTGTGGAGGGGAGCAGCGGGTGAGTCAGGAGAGGTCTGCTGCGCCATGTGGGTTGCTCTCTGGACCTCCAGGGATTGAACTTGGGGATCAAATTCGTGCTGCAGAGGCTGCAGATTGCTTCACGGTGCGGTGCTTAACTCCCTGCGCCACCAGGGAGGCCCCCAGAACATATAGTTTTAAAGATGATGTAAGGTTGAAGTGCTTTAAACCCACGTGAGGTATGAATTGAACCATACATTTTGAAACTTTTATGTCTTTTGATGTTATTCTCTCTCTTGGTTTATAAAAAGGGGGGGTGGGGATTGTAAGAATGGCAACAAAGTCAGAAATATTTTAATCATTTGTAACAACAAAATCAGATTAGAAGTTTTAAATGGATTTTTGTTGGTAAGTAGCAAATCCTGTATTTTAAATGTTGAATCAGAACAACACCATTAGAGTTGAAAGATCCTTCTTCACTCAACCATAAAAAGGAATGAAATACATTTATCACATGAATGAACCTTGAAAACATTATGCTAAGTGAAAGAAGCCAGTGACAAAATGCTATAAATTGTATGTTTCCATTTACACGGAATGTCCAGAGTAGGAAACTCTTATAGAAATAGAAAGTAAGGTTGGGGGTGGTGGGGAATCGGGTGTGACAGCTAAAGTGTAGAAGTGGGTGGTTGTTTGGGCGGTGATGATAATCTTCTAAAATTGATAAACTAAAAGCCACTGACTTTCTTTACTCTTAAATGGTTGAATTGTGTGGTATGTGAATTAAATTTCAATAAATGAGCTACCAAAACAAGAACAACAACAATGCAAACCAGACCATGTTAACATCCTTTCAAGGACTGCTCCTGGTACTTTTGTTGTAGAGCAACCCCGATACAAAACGGGGTGCCTGACTGTGGGTCCTCACCCGCGCGCTTAAAAGGACTTATCAATGCTCTACTGCAGGCACACGCGAAAGGTTAATAAAAGGTTTATTTACAAGGGAAGGGGAAATGAGGAAATGTACAGCTCTGGGAGAAAAGTGGGAGACAAAGTTTTAAATGAGTCCTGCCCGATCCGCCGATCAGGAATTCCAAAATGGCGCTCTCAGAGTTCGCCGCCAGCCAGGAGCGGTGAAGCCAGGAGGCGAGTGATCGCGAGCCAGAGAGAGCCCAAGGCCCACGTGTTTTGGTTTTTATATCCAACCTGGCTGCCCAACTCCACCCTCAGGTCCCAGCCACCCTCCCTTTGGTGGTGATGGGATTTGTCTTTCCCAATGTCTTGATGGCTTTAGTCTGGAGTGGGGGTGGGGTCCACAAAGCCTGTATGGGATTAACTCAGGACATCATTTCCCCCTAAGACTTTGAATAAATTCTAAATTTATTCCAAAACTTCTCATGAGATATATGAGATGTCAGTGAATCTTTATAGTCTGAATTCATACATAGTAGATTAAATGTCATAATTATGCTGATTTACATACCTTCAGCAAAGTCAACGGATATACGTATTTTATAGATATCTACAGGAATTCTTAATATAGCACTTCTTAATACTACATGTTTATTGTTTTATATCTTTCTACTCTAAATATCAAGTCTTTTCATAGGATGAGTTAAATCTCTTTCCATTAACCTCTAAAATATAGGTAACAAAATATCAATATAAAAGAAACAAGATACATACTAGACTAACACATAAAATCACATGACTAACAGTCAGCATAAAACTTGTAATGTTTATTCTTAGATATATAAAATGAAATGCAGGGCCTCCCTGGTGGCGCAGGAGGTGAACCACATGGCACAGCTGACTTCCCCTCAGCAGTGTATTTCAGTCAATCCACCTGTTCTGCTCCCCACTCTGTCTCTGGTGAATCCTCTCACCCCCCACACCTCTGGTCTGTACCCCAGTTCTTGTATGTATAAGCAAATCTTTATGCAGATCAACTCAAGATAAAAATAGTGCTGATTGCTTAAAAAAAAACAACTGTTAAAAAAAAAAGAAGTAACCTAGTGGCCAATATTTTTTTTTAGGCGGCTCTTTGCTGCATCGGGATAGGCTCTAATGAGCAAATTCCAGTCACTATTAAATGTTTCCCAAACTACAACACCACACACTTTTAAGATTATTTAAGTTATACTCCACCAGCAGCAAGTTTTTTAATGACTGTAAAGCTAACATTTGGAAAGAAAAAAGACACCAAGTAGTAATAACAAATGGTATAACCAAATTATTGCTGGTGAAAACTAATAGTGAGAAGTGAGAAAGGTAGGGCTGATTACTCCATTCAAAATATTTACTCTATAAATATTGTATTATTTGCAGGAATTGGAGCTCTCATATCAGTATAAGATGGTAAACTTGAAAAACTGGTCTCTGAGTGAATATTTAGTGTTGAAACTTTCCTAGAATGGGTGAATAAAGTTAAGAGCATGTAGACAGAGTTTTCTGCTAGAAACCCAGAGTTTTTGAAGGCTTCTTTTCTGCAAAGGTTGTATGTAGCAGTTTCCCTACAAACTTTCTCATTTTATTCAGAATTTCAAAGTGCAATTGAAGAGGAAACCAGTCAGCTCCTGTTGTGGCAACATGATTTATGTTTTGATGTTGATTCTGTAGTTGCTTCCTCAACAACCACTTTAAATAATTCTGTACTTTCATTTGTTCAGAAGCATCACTGAATTTTCTCTTTGCAAGTTGTCTAGGAGAGTATAACATGGGGACATATACACAAACATCCCCACAAGCCCTTGCTGTTCCTTAATATTTGCAATGCTTTATGGACACTTATAGTGTTGTGAGCAACCTTACCTTGTAGTTCTATTTGATCAAATAGTTCTATTTGTAGAATCAGGCATTTCAAAATAATTTGCCCAAGCCAGTCAAATCAAAAGAAACTTTTAAATATGGATTTTATTTGAAAACCCTCACACCAATTTTTGGTTTTGCTTTAATTTGGATTTTCCGGTTTGCATATGTAGATGATCTCAAATTATAATTTAAATTTAGGAACGTGCTGAGGGTGAGTAGATATTCACTCTTTTCTGGGTATGAGGAGTCAGGATGGAGAGGAGACACTGCTGGACAAGTCCTGTGAGGTGGGATATTTCACATCTCTTGTAAGACATTGAGGTGTGAGGATTCCCAGTGAATTAAGTTGTTAATCAGGTGGGTGGGTGAGGGGTAAGCTTCAAACCTGGTTCTGTCATTAGAGCCACCCTGGCTGCCAAGAAGCAGAAAAAAGCACTGTATTCTGGGTCCTCATTATCAACCAGAGAGATGTCCAAGCTTCTGCCCAGAAGGAGGTCATCGGTTCCAGCTGCCTCTGACAGATGGTGGAGCAGCCTTTCAAGGCAGAGCAGGCAGAAGGCCGTGTGAGTTCCTGGGGGTGGGGTGGGGGGGGGGGCAGATGTGGCCCAGTCATGACGAAAGGAAGCCTGAAGTGAGGAAGGAAAGTTCTGCCCAAGAAGGAGCGGGCAGAGAATTGGCAAGTTCTCAGTCCCACACCCAAGTGTAGATTCCTTTATTGAGTCATAATAATTTTCCCAAAATTCTGAGTCCGGCCACTTTAGACTTTCAGCCTGGCATTTACCTCCTTCTCCCCACCAAGCCCCATGCCCTCCAAGGCACCTCAGAGTCCACTTGGGGAGCGGGGCTGCCTGGGAGTAGGGCTCCCATAGGTCACCCTCTGTCACTCCCAGCTCCGGTTCCTTGGGATTCACCTCTAGACAACTGTCTTTCAAAAGAATGTTTTCTGGCAGTTCCTTACTGCCTTGTCCAAGGAAGTGTCCTTATATTTATATTTGTACAGGGTTTTGCTTTTGTGAGTGCTTTTACATCCAGCCTCTCACTTAATCCTTGTAACTCTGCTGGTGAGGTAAGGAGCGGGGTGGGGTGGCGTGGGGGCGGGGTGGGGGTGTGATTATTCTCATTCACAGGAAAGGGGGTTGAGGCTGCCTTCTGGATTCTCCAGTGTCGTCAGCAGACATCTCACATGCCCCCGGAGTGCTGTTAGGGCACAGGTTCTAAGTTTTCTCTTTTTTCCCCTCTCTCACATTTCCTAGAATCCCTGTGGATTCTAAGTGGCAGACACTTTACACTCAGGGCTGAGAGTCCTGATTAATTGCAGGCTGCAGTCACAGCTTTGCGTTGCCTTGGCAGTGTCCCTCCTTAGCTGGTTTCCAGTGTGTCCTGCGCCACTCCTGCCCCTCGCTTGCCGTCTTTCCGGTTCATAATTCATCTTCTCATCAGATTTTTAAGGGGACATCAACGTGGAAGCTTCCATTTTATCCAAATGGGTCTGTTTTGGGTGATTTTCTCTTGCCTAAATGTTAGGCATCCAACCTGACGGGTTTCAAAAATTAATATAATTTATTTTCCGTCTTGTCAGTGCAAAGCCAAGGTACTCTTAAGACAAAGCACTGAAGAACAGAATCCTTCCTCTTCTATTTCTTGAACTAGTAGCGAGTAAACATTCCTGTAAACACACGTGGGGCTTGTGTCCTTGTGTGCGTGGGCCACTGTTTGATTCCATTCTTAACGGGCTTTGCTTCAGTTGGAATCAAGTGGTCTTGTCTTACTCAAACGGAGATTCCCTTAACAGCTGGACTTTCATCAAAGCCCGTTTCAACTGCTCATAGGTCACGAACATCAGCACGTTCCAGGCTCCCAAACGCAAAAAGGAAGGTGTGAACCTGATGAGAAAAACAACCAAACTTCAGGCGGCACGGACCCAGAGTCCCAGACAGTTCTACTGCGCCCCCCCTTTTTGGGGGTCGGAGCCAAAGGACATAGACCTCTGGTAGAAACCAGCACTTTTTTGAGATTTGTTCGGGTTTTTCCTTCTCTGCCGCAGAAATGTAGGTGGAAGTTGGAGTCAGGAAGGAGAGAAAATTAACCATCTGAGCCAGGTCACTGCGGCAGGTGGTTAATTGTCACGCCTCCACGAGGTAACTGCGATGGTTGCCAGGTTTCTGTTTCAGAAACTCAGGCTGCCACAGTGAGCCAGTGTCAGATATGGGATTCAGATGAGCCGTCTGACCTGCTCCTGGTGTCCCAGGGCTCATTTACATCCCGAGGGGCCACCTCTGAGGAGGCCAGGGCCCAGAGGAGCTGGTGCGCCACAGGGGCAGAGACAGTGTAACACCAGCTTAGCTAATTGCCCAAGAATCCCCACCTCAGCTGCACCTCACAGACTCAGGAGGCTTCCATGCCTGGCCCGGCCCTCCTCTTGAGCCTCTCTTTCTGCTAACCCCTCCTGTCCCCTCTGCCCCTGCTACTCTTATTCCATGCCTTTGCCCATGTTGTTCCTTCTGCTTGGATCTTCTCTCCTCCTTGCCTGGCTGACTGCTCTGGGCTTTGCAAGACTCAGTTTGGGCACCACAGTCTCTTGACAATTCTCCCTTGCATCCTCTGCCAAGACGCTTCACAGAGAGTGCAGTATTGGGGCAATGAATGTGAACTCTGGTGTCAGACCTGGGTTCAAATCCCAGCTCCACCATTTTCTAGTTTTATGAATGACCTTGAACAAGTTACTTCATTTTTCTGAGGCTCAGTTTCCTCTATATCATGAGGTAAAAAAAAAACAGTGTCTTATTGTGTCGTCATGAGGATTAAAGAGGTTAATGTACTGCACACAGCATGGGACCTGGCATCTGTAAATGCTAATAAATATCACCTATTCATCTGCTGCTCTTTGAGGGGAGCATGGCACAGCTTGGTTATGCTAGATGCTTAATATGTGTTTACCAAGTGAAAGAATAAATGGATAAAGCTGAAGATGGTAGGAAAAGAACAGCCTGTCATATGCAATTGTTATAGGATGTCATTCCCAGGGTTGAGACCCTGGCTGCTTGTTGGGCCCAGTCTAACACTGGGCACCAGGAAACTCTCTGTGGAAGACAACGTAGTGGGAGGTGAGGAGACGGAGCAAAGTGCCTAGTAGTGGGATGGATGACAACATATTGGGTAGTGCCTGGGGGTCTAGGTGGGGGTCCGGGGATGAGCTGGGGCTCTGCCATTTTAACTTTGTGATCCTGGACAAGTTACTTGGCCATTCTGAGAATCAGCTTCTTCCTCAGCAAAGGTGGATACTGCCTGGCTCAGGGGGTTGTTGAGATAATATATGTAAAGTGCTTAGTATAAGGCCTGATGCTTAGTGATTGATCAATCATAATGATTGTTTATAATCTATGTTATGGAGTGCTGACTTTGTGCTAGGGACTCTGGGCCGTGAAAGATACATACATCACCACGAGTCCTTGGCTTCAAGGAGTTTGCTCTCTAGCAAGGGGGTAATTTGAATTTACAAACACCATAATACAAAACAGGGTATGGTAGATCCACAAAAATGGTATTAGGATATATGGCTGAAGTTCACAGGGTGGAAAGAAAATTGAGCCCTGAGGTGTTAGGGAGGAGGAGACATTTGAATGAGTCTTGAAGGAAGGCCAGAATGCAGGGTGTGTAGTAGGTATGGCGTTCCATGCGGAGGGAATGGTAACTGTCAAGATGCAGAAGCGAGAAAATGCTGGGCATTTCTGTTGCCTCAGTGGTGCTCCTCGGTCCTGGCAGCGTTCAGAGAAGTTGCAGCCTTACCAACGGTCTTTTCCTCCTCTACCCAAAACATTTGGGGATTGACTGTACCTTTACCTCTACCTAGAATCTGGGTTTTCGGGTAAGCCTTCCTTAACCTCCAAATCAGATTTGGCCCACAATTTAAAAAAAAAAAAAAATCCTTAATTCTTTATACTTCCCTCTGCGGCATTTATATTTGTGCTAGTCACAGCAGGTAGGCATGTTATCAGCGCAAGGAGGAGGGAGGGAGAGAGGGAGGAGAGAGGGAGAGAGGGAGGAAGGAGATCGAGGAGGCAGAGACTCACCCCTTATAGAAGGCTGTGGGGCCCTCCTGGGCCACCATCTTCATCATACAGTCCAGGGGGCTGCGGTACTGGCCTGGGGGCGAGTTCATATACCGGGTCTTGACCACATCCACAGGGGACGCCACCACGGTGGCGCAGAAGCCAGCCCCAAAGGCAGAGACAAAGTGGCAGGGGAAGTTGTCTGTAGCAGGGAAGCGAAGAGCAAATACTGGGCTGTGAGATGGGGTGCCCTCGCCCTCTGTTCTACCCGAATTCATCCTTGTCCCCCACTACCCTGAACTGAGCAGGACGGTAATTTCCACATCTCCATTGCCCAGGGCAGAGCTCTTGGTCAGTACGGGCGAGATGGAAGTGGCCACCCCAGAGCTGGAAGGTTATCCCCTCCAACCACCTGGTTTGAGGAAACTGAAGTCAGAGAAGGTGAGAGACCCTCCCTTGAAGTAGGCGCTGCTGGCAGCCAGATCTCTGCCTTCCCCACCTGCTCTCCTATTTGCTCTCCTATTTGTTATGGTGATGTGGTGGGCACTTTTTAACTGGGCGCTGCTTCTCTCTCCTGCTCCTTCCACATCCCGATTGCCTCTGGGTGATGCCCACTCTGCAGAGATCAGGTTCCCTCCCTGCGGGGGCAGGACATCTGCCTGGAGCCCAGGGCCTCACCGGTGAGCAGGTGATACTCTAGCAGCTTCTCCTTGATGATGTCGTACGTTACCATCTCTGCGCAGTTGACGATGGCATTCCTTGTGATGTTAGGCACAGTTCCTGTTAGGAAGGGGGTGAGGTGATAAGTGTGGACTAGGAACCGTGAATGCCCTGGCTACAAGGCCTTAGGCTCCACTAAGGGGGGCATAGTGCCTAATTCTGGTGGTTTCAGAAGAACCCACATTCCACACTTCCTCTCCAGAGTCAACAACTTCAGATTATCACTGTCCACCTTAGAGTCAGAAAACAGAGAGGTCCATTTGCATTTATTTAGTCCGCATTTTGGAGGGTAATCTGCACTATCCACGCATATTAAAATATCTCCCTGAGGCCTAGCTGGAGCTGGGAAGTCTTTCTTTGCAGGAGGGAGGTGGGTCTCTCGGAGCAGTGGTGGGATGTGGCACTGGTGGCATCAGAGCATCAAGACCAAACCCCTTGTTTTACAAATGAGGGCTGGGCTCTGGGGGGGCACACAGCAACTCCTGGGCAGGATGTGACTGAGGTCTGCCCTTAACCTTCACGGAGTCACTCTTTCTTCTACAAGGATTGCCACTTCTGGCCACAGGTGGGAGAGACTCCAATGTTTGTCCAGGTGGCTGCCATTTAGACATGGAGGGAGCCATAAAGTCTTGCTGGCAAAGAAGCTCCCTCCTCATTGTGCTTACCTGCTGCCCAGCCCTCGTGGCTGCCTCCTCCAACAGCCGCTGTTTCTGCTCCATGTTCTGTAGCTGCCCCTCTCAGGCTGTGGCTGGGGAAGCCCTTCCTGAATCACTTTCCCTCTAGAGCAGCCTTGGTTTCTCCTGCCACTGGACCTGTATGTCTCTGTGAATCTAGCGCATTCTGCATGGTGGAAGAGCTACTCCTTGGCCTAAGTCATCTCTTTTGTTTGTGAGAGCTGAGAGGCGTTGGAAGTATCTTTTGTTGGTGTCTGTCTCCCTCAAGGCAGCCTGCACACTGTGAAGGGTTGGCAAGTTGAACTGAATTTGGGGCGCTGTGGAAGGTCAGTGAGAGATTTTTGGTTGAGAGTTTCTTTCAGAATCACTGGGATTTCCTTCCTTGCTCAATTCCCTGTCCTGTTCCTAGGGTAGGGGAAGCTCTGTCTGAAGCCCCCTGAGCCTGGAGCCCAAACCTACCTTTCCACAAACCCCTGACCCCTTCCTCCCTGGCAATGGTCCTGTATGCGTCCATTGTTCCTCTGTATTTCCTGTTGCTCCCAGATCCAAGGTGTATGCTGGCCTGAAATCGCACCTTCACCACATCAGTGGGCTGGGCACACATGACCGCCATGGCCCCTGTGGTGCAGCCTGCCAGTATCCGGGTAGTGATGCTGGAGTCTGCAAAGAAGCAGGAGAGAGAGAATGGGGTGGTGCCCCACCCACACCCAACGCCTCTCTAGACCTGATGCAGTTCTCCCTGCCCCGTGCCTGCCTCTTCTTCTGAGTTGGGGTTTTAGAGCTTCCTTGACAGTGGCTCAGAGTCTTCTCATAGGTCTATTACCAGCTTTCCAGGCTGCCCCACCCTGGTTTCCTGACACTCAGACCAAGATTCTGCTTCCTTCCACCCCTTGGTGTCCTCAGGGTCTTGGGGACTCACGGTCGGATCCTTTGGGGGTGTAGAACTGCTTGACAGAGTCGTATAGGCCAATGCGGATGGAGGCGAAGCCCATCTGGCGCTGCAGGCCGGCGACCAGCCCATTGTAGGGGCTGAGGGGGCCCTCGGTGCGCACCATGGTCAGGATGGTGCCCAGCACGCCACGGTACTGGGTGCTCCGGGCTGCCTGGTTCTCCCCCTGGATCTGAGGGACACCCCCACAGAGGTGTTAGGAACTTGGTGTGGTGTGGGTGGGGCTGCACGCAGAGGGACTTGTCTGGGGCAGGCCTTGGGAGAGAGCATCATGGCAGCTGGCGAACCCCAGTAAGAAAAACTGAGGTTTGGGTAGCAGCTTACAGCTCACAGGCTGCTGTACAACATGTGGCATTTGATTTTAAGAGCAAAGGGAGGGCAGATTGTTCTCCCACTGCAAATGGTCAGTGGCTCCCCTGCGGTCACACTTCCTTTGCTTCACATCTTATGATTCACAAAGTAGGCCATGAACACCCCTTCAAGGCCTGCCAAGGAATTATGATTTTTTGTCTTGGGTGATGGCGATGGGGCGGAGGCAGGCAAGCGTCTTAAACAGCAGCATGTGTGAAGAAGAGCGGCTGCTGCTGTGGTGGAGAACTCAGCCCTTCCTTGTTGGCAACAACAACGCTTGGCCAAAGGGCACTTACCTGCAGGCGGACCTTGGCTGTGTCCAGTGGAAAGGTGAGGAGGTCTGCAAAACAGGCTGCTGTGCCTGCCCCCAGGAACTTCACAGCTGTTGTGGGAGGCACCTCCGAAGGCTTCAGTCCAACCATGGTTCCAGAAGGTTCTGCCTGATCCCTCAGGGGCTCAGGGGAGGTCCGAAGAGAGGCTGCCCTGCAGCCCTGACTTCAGTGCAGGGAGGAGGCTGTAGGAGTCAGATGGAATCTGTGCCATTGGGGTCTCCCTCCAGGCTCCCTCAGCAGGGGTGGGGGTGGAGGGAGGGTAAAGGTGAGGGATTGGGGGTTGTTTCAGAAATGATCATTTAGTTGGGTGAAATAGGCTTGTATTGAAGGAAACTGAGGCTCAGTCAGGGGCCAGTCTTGGTTCTGTCTCCACTCTAAAATTTTGTTCTCCTCCCCCGCGATCAGGCTGCTTTCCTGGGAAAGGCCTCCTTGAGGTGCGTGGACAGCCTTCTGAGTCTCATTACTTGAGGCCTTTTGTCCCAAATAAATGATTGTGTGCATTTTAGTGATCACCGAGCTATATAAAGGGAATTATGTGCCAATTCTGGAATGCTAGGCCTGCCTAGTAGATGTAGGAGGAGGTTTTTGGACAGAGACCTACCTGCATCCAAACATATGTAAATAGAGCAGGCAGTTCCTCTATTGTAAAGCTGTCCAGCTCCCCCCACCCTTCTATTACTCTTGACAGTCTTTCCCAGGGCCTGTGTGCCCTCGTTAGGACCCACCCCACCCTAGGTTCTTTACTTGGCACTCAGGGAAGCCCAGAGACGAATAAAAACACTCGAGTGCCTGGCCCACAGGAAATTCCCAAGGAGTCTGTGGGGACACAGACACACCCACAGATCACTGCTGTGCAGTAGACGAGACTAATGTCCAGGAAGGACCCAGGGCGGGAGAGACTTCTTTTTTTTTCATGAGGTGGAATAAGAGCAATTTCAAGGTACAAGGCGGAAGAAAGGCCATGTGAGTTAAGCCCTGAGTGGTGGCCAGGGTTTCAGCAGCTGGAGCCTTGGGAAAGGGCTGAGCTGGTGTGAGTCTGGGGCACAGCTGAGGGTAGGAGGAGGAAACGACCACTGGGCCTTGCAGCGGAGCCTGGCACACCATCTCATAGACTTCTCCTGCCTCGTCCCCTGCTGCTGGATAAGCAAACTGAGGCTCAGAGACATTAGCTTGCTCAGCCACTAGTGTCAGAGTCTGGCTCACTCTGCTATACCAGACTCGAAACAGCCCTGGAAAGCAGACAGGGCAGCCTTAAATCCATTTTACAAATGGGAAAACAGACACTGAAAGACAGGAAGAGACAGACTGTGGCACTGAACTCCAGCCATTTTCTTCAGGGGGTAAAAATCTTCCTGTCACCCTTCTACTCAAGGGCCCCGGGGGACAGCCACCATCTTGCCTTTGTATGGAGCATCCAAGCCCTTTGCAGTTACTAAATTATGTGCAAACCTTGTCTCCGGGGAATCCAGTGGCTAGGCCCACGGGGCAACAGCTGGTGTGAAGGCCAGGTAGGCATCACTGCCCAGGTTGGCAGATGAAGGAAATGAGCCCAGAGAGGCTAAGGCTTGGCACCTCCCAGTCAGGTATCAGGATCCCTCTGGAGTGCTCCTCCTACAGCCTGGGCCTCCATGAGGGGTCCAAGAGGATCTGGTTCCTTGGGAGGGCGGTGTTAGGCCCATGTAGCTGGGCCCGCCGGAGGCGAGGGCACTACAGGCATGTTTGGGGAAATAACATCCTCCTCCTGCCTCCACTTCCACTTCCCTTTGCCCTACAGAAGACAGCTGCTGCCAGGGCAGCCTCTGTCCCAGCAGGAGGCTGGAGTGGCTGGTGTGTGTGTGTGTGTGTGTGTGTGTGTGTCTCGCATGCAGTTGCCTCTCCCAGTGCCCATATCCTGTTAGCCACGTTTCCCCAAGCCCTGGCATTTCCCTTGCCCTTTGCCTCCGCTGGCACAAGCTGGGCAAACTCCTGACCCATAGAGTTGGGGAGGTCCTTGGGGATTATGATCTCTAGTTACTCGTACTGGTTGTAGGAATGTCCCCTATTCAAAGACTTACTGGTCACCCAGATTCTAATAGAAGAAGCTACAAATTAGATTTTTTTTAGTCCACTCTCAGGGTGAAAAACTGAGCCCCATTTGGGTGGGATGAGCTGTCCGAGGTCACACAGTGAGCTGGGGGCCCTTCAGGGCTGTGCACTTCCATTCTCTGCATTTTTGTGTGCTCTGCTGGGTTCTGCAGGGAGCACTTTGTAGGCTCATGGGCTGGGCCTCTCTCTGGTGGAGCCTGTTTTCACTTGACCAGGTGGCTGAACATAAAGCAGAGCTCCCCTTCTGAACTGCCTTTGTTCCCAGTTCTGGTCCCACACCATTTTGTAGAATTAGCTCACTAACTGCAGTGGTTTCCCCTCTGGATGGGA